TTGGCCACTCGTGGAAATTAAGGTTAGTAAGGGTTTTGATATAATAAAATATATCGCAAGTCCACTTACGTATATCAACACTGTGGCAATCCTATTGCGCATGCCCATCTGGAAGATAGCTGATTTTTCGGACTGCCGTGTGAAATAAGAAATATACAGATTTAATAAAGTATATTAGCTTTTGAGACTAAAACGTGAACGACAAACTTGAGGTTAAAACTTGACGTTTCAGCATTTACCCTAGCGTGATCCACGTGGGGTTCGTAGTGACCGGCAATACCGTAATTAACAACCTAACAAGACAAAAACAACAGATAAATACCGGCAAAAAGCTCGGATAGGAATAGTATCAAAATTTAGCATATTAGCCTGTTTAGTCATACAGTATTATCTAAACAAGTTAAATACTTTTCGAGCAAGCTTTCTGGACAACACTGAAAGGCAACAGTTCCCTCTTTCTAACCGAACACAAAAATTAAATCTTGAGGCTTGATGGTACAGAGCGCGAAGATTTTTGCGTCACTTGTTTCCTTCGCGCTGGGGCGCTCGCATCGTGCTACACACGCTGCCCGCTAAACCCCCTGTACTGCGGTTAATTCCGGTACAGTTCACTCCCGATAACTCGAACCCCCGCTAACTCGAAGTAATTTTCATTTCCCTTCAGGCCATTTTCTATATAATTTTACCCTCGATAACTCGAACCCCCGATAACTCGAACCTTTTACTATTTCCCCTGAAGGCTTGAGTTATCGAGAGTCGACTGTACATCCAGGTTTGATAATCACCTGTAGCGCTTCACTGTAGCGACTGGCAGTAGACAGACCTGTAATGGCTTCCAACCTTCGATTTAATCGCATGATCGATTCTCCTTCTTCATCATCTAGCCAGCCACTGTAAAGAAAGTTAGTTTAATACAACACGAGTTTGTTTTATTCCTAAAATACTAAGTAATGCTTTTCACTGGAACCAAATAATTGAGGCTTGTGCGCTAGAATCTATCATCTTTTTTATACGGAACAAAATTTACACGATCGCGTTTCGTCACCACTAGAAACGTTAAAGAAAACACACTGCGAAATACTGTGAACGGGAAACCTTTGACGATGAGGAATAATTAAACTAACTAGAGACCCGTCGCATAAATGTTGCCTAAATTTGAATAAAAATGACGTTATTCGCCCTTAGCCTCTACTTATGTTTCCAGACAAATATACCTTATGCGAAAGTGCTAGTGGCAAGGCTGACCGTACAATGACGTCGCAAGTTTCTCAACCGTCTCTTTTTGCAAACGTACTAACCGTGAGCCTTCTCGTACTGCGCTCGCACCCAGTTCTCTATTCCGTGTCGGCAAAATATTGATTTATGTCAATACCGATTATCACAAATTACATGACTGAAGAGACCTTGTAAAACTGTTTTGGCCAAATCTAAGGGACATATTGTAGATCTAAGTGAGCATATGAAAATTATCATATATGAGAACTGCGGAGAGGGACGTGAAGACATGATTGATCATCGCAGTTATACACAACTCTACGGAGCAGTTGTGAAATTAAAGCTTAAAAAAAATTCAGGCTTGAACGGGATTCGAACACACGACCTTTGCGATACCGATGCAGTTCTCTACCAACTGAGCTACCAAGCACACTGGGAGCTGGTTACGTTATGAACTGCGCACATAACTGCGATGATCAATTATGTCTTCATATTGTAGATCTGCTGAGAAGCCCACATGGACGGTTGGCCACGCCGATAAAAGTGTAATTGTTTACAAAATTTTTCAGTTTTGACTTTCTATACCTCTTACTAATTCTATAATCTGCAAATTCCAGATTTCCCGTGTTCCTGTTGGTGACAGTGGCTCTTTCAAGCTGCATTAATGAAAGAGATATACTTCATCACACTCAAGAATAAACTGGGCGACAATAGGACTGCTTTTAGTTGGCCCGCCTCAGTTAAACGTATTGCTTTAAAAAAGCACAATCACTGTATTTTGAGTTATTTTGGCCACGTACAAAATTACCTTTAACTTGGAGGAAACCTGAAGAGAAAAGTTTACTAAGAGAGAAAAATATCAAAGAGACAATAATAAACCATAAAGAAACTAAGATGGTCAAGGATAGAGAAGGATGACACGGATTACAAACGACGAACTTCAGTGAAAAATGTACATAAGCTCAACTTTTCAAGATCAAGTTGGTTATTCCTGCCAGGTAGAATGTACCTGCAGAAGTCAAAACGGCAGAAAACATTCTTAACCGCAGTCTCTATATTTCCCAGTCACAAAATAGTCGTGAAGAGAGACCCTGATGGCCTGGGTACGAAGTTAATGTTGCTCAGCAACCCCGAGAGCCGAACAATAATCCCTCACGCTTCCGATACATTTGGGGAGCAGAGATGGCGTAGGGGTGAGAACGCCCGGCTGGATCAAAGAAGGCGGCCCTGGTTTGATTCTGGCCTAGTGTCAGATGTGGATTGAGTTTGCTGTCAGTCCGAGTGTTTTTCTCCAGGCACTCCAATTCTCCTCCCTCTTAATAAAACCACCGTTTACAAGTTCCAGTTTTACCAGTATCCTGCACGAAAACCAGCTAAGGTAATGAGACTTGCTCCTCTTTAAATAAAGTGTAAGGCTTACAGTATCAATATTTTATACTATATATTTACTTAGGTTATTAAGCGAAAGAATTCTGACTCACTCTAGGAGCTGCGAGGTCTTTGATAAATTCAATGTCTTCATCCCTGATAATGTCGTGTAGGAGATATNACGAGAGGTGTTTCCAATAAGGCGCGCTCGTTGAGCTGATCGCATGAATTGCACGCAATGTCATTGTTAAAAGTTTGTCGTTGTAGTCCAAAATGGGTGTGTTTCGCGCCTTAGGGTTTGAAATTGGAGCTTTTTTAGCTTGCTTGCTTTGGGTTTTCTTTTGGAGGAAGCCAAAGGAGCTTATCTACATAAACCAGTGCATTTCGTTTTCTCGGGCTATTCATAGAGCAATGGTGGCAGAAAGATGTTATTCGAAACTGATAGAACGCTATTTCCCTCCTACGTTTAGCGTTAGAGACTATCTGAAAATGAATGTATTCTCTTCGTGATTCACAAATAAAGCCCAGATTTTACAGGAAAAGTACGCCAGAAGCTACTGAAACAAAATGCTACATTAGAACACTTTGTAATTAGTAGCACTTTCTAGATCTTATTTGTATTAAGTTAATTTAAATTTTAATCACTATTCATAAGTATATAATATGTAAATGATTTTATGTAAAATTAGGGAGGGCCATATTGTAAACTACTGGGAAACCAGTAAATTATATTACCCTCGTTAAATAAAGTCTTTTATTTTATTATTATTATTATTATTATTATTATTATTATTATTATTTTAATGTGCATTCTTCCAAACGAGAGATATAGAGCACCCTCGACAAATATTCGTTTTTCTCTCATTCCGAATGAGAGATTGTGTTTGTCTCCTTCAATCTANCTACAACCCAGGTTATGCGACATTCCATGAAAAAAAGAAAGAGAAAGTCATATTCTAGTTTAATGGTGGTCATGGTTCTAGGAAATCTTTTAGTGTCTACTGACTTGTCTCTTCTGCAGAGGTTTGAACGTTCGTTTTATAAATCCGCTGTGCGACTCGAAGTGAGTGCAGGCGCAAAGTCGAGCAGATCCCTTACGCAACCCTGCGTTTGCACTCGTATCGCTCAGCGGATTCTTCCCACCAAAAAATGCCCCTTTTTGAGCCTCCGTGGAGGAGCTAGAGAGTTCACTGATCACATTTGGGCACGGGCCCGATCGTGCTGTACATACCCTATTGGACTCGCCCCTGCAAAGTCGCTCGTAATGTAAGATAAATTCCTGTTTTGGTTTAGGCTTGTCAGTTTCTTCAGACGTCTCTTCTTCATGTGCTTCCTCTTCTGCTTCTTCAAGATGTTCTCCTTCTTCCATCATACTTAGTCTGCTTTCATAATATGCTTTGTTTTGCTGGGCTTCCTCATCATTTGGGTCTATATAAAGTAAAAATTGCAGCCCTAGCCTAAATAAAAAGACTTCTCTTTAAAGGCTCCTAGAGCCACTAGGTGCTGAATCAACTCTACAAAGTTCTACATGGGGAGACTCCGCCTCGAGATCCAATCCCGTACCCTTTTTGACAGAAAAGGTAATAACTCCTTTCGTCTACCTTTAATTGAGAAAAGGTACCACTTTCACACACTTTCATAACTGGCTTGTATTATGAATAAATCGCCAAAAAAGGAAAATGGCGGCTTAGAAGGCCTTAGGAATGAACAATAAAATGAAAACAGTATATCAGTGTTAGGCACAAT